ATCGGCCTGAATGGGTCTGAACACGCCAGCTGGATGTGTGTGTGTGTGTGTGTATGTGTGTGTGTGTGTACGTGTGTGTGAGTGTGTGTCTCAGTGTGTGTGTGTGTGTGTGTGTGTGTGTGTGTGTGTGTGTGTGTGTGTGAGGAGCTGGGGAAATAAAATGGGGTGTGGTAACTCTGGACAGCTGGCATCCCCCCTCCTCTTCTTCCTCCTCCTCCTCTTCTTCCATCTCCTCCTCCTCTTCCCCCTTTTCCTTCTCTTCCTCTTCCTCCTCCTCCTCCTCTCAGATGCTGCCTACAGCTCCTCTGGTCACTCTCTGGATTTAAACTGATCCGATGTCTGTAATGAGACCAACTCTGAGGATCTGAAGGCTGTTCTGGTTCTTCTGCTCCGAACCGTTTAAGGTCAGTTCCTCAGATCTGAGAGTAGTGACGACAAAGGGGAGGATTCTGACTTGAATTCTGACTTTTTGGTGATTTTTCATCAGATGTTTGTCATCTCTGGGCTCCTGCTGCTGTTACTCCTCTCTTCTCCGGCTTCTTCCTCTCCTCTCACAAAGGTTAGTGTGTCCATTTAACCCTTCAAAGCCTGATCCAAGAAAATTAGGAAGAATATTTGATTTTCTTTAGTCTGAAGTCTTTCTTTGGCCCCTCAACAACATATGAAGAAAAAAAACAGAAATATTTAGATCAAATTAGCGTGCAATGAGTCAAAAATGTATTTTGGTGTAGTCTTCTACTGGCTGTTATCAGGTATATCTAAAAAATATAGTAATATATTAATACAGTAATATCTGAAAAATAGGAAAAATATTGGATTTTTTTAGCCTGAAGTCTTTCTTTGGCCCCTCAACAACATATGAAGAAAAAAAAAACAGAAATTGTTTTGATCAAATTAGCGTGCAATAAGTCTAAAATATATTTTGGTGTAGTCTTCTACTGGCTGTTATCAGGTATATCTGAATGTGTACAACAGGGGTTTGAGCAAAGCTTTTACCACTGAATGATGCAAAAAGTCTCAGATCCAAAAGACTTCAGAAACCGTACGAATCAGATATGATACATTTGGCATTATGGGGTTAAACAGGTTACGGAGAATTCTTCATGTGGTGATTTCCTCTCTTGAACTAAACCTGACGAATAAGAATGGAGTTTAATGCCTTTTACAAGATTTGTGCTTAATTTATCAGAATATCCAAAGGAGTAATCCCAAGGGATAAATAAAGTTAAAATTGAGTCTTTATTTAAAGAAAAAATAAACTTTTTCTGCGTGATAATGTTTTTATCTCCCATTTTTTACTTTATCATTTTGACAAAACTGATATTGATAAACCAAAACCATGAATACAAACATGCAAACAATTAGTTCTTCATTGAATTCTGTTGAATTCCTTTAAATTTCTCCCAGAAAATGGCAAAAATGACTTGTGCTGTTTGATTTAAAATGATTTCTGAGTCAAATTTGACAATTAACTGTAAAAATATTGTGATTAAAAACTGTAGTTTAGCCTTTACTGAAGGAATATCCGACATCCTCCGGAGTGTGTGATGGTATGTTCTTTACGAGGTGAAGTTTGGGGATTCCTGGTTTTAAAAGTCTGTGGTTTATTGTTGCAGATGTGTTTGTTGTGGATCCTCAGGTATGTGAGGGAGCACAGCTGTGGGACATTCTTCTGTAATCTCAGCCTCCACATCTGTAATTGTGGTTGGAAACACAAACTTTGAAGAGAAATATTTGCTGGTCAGGCTTCAACATGTGTGTATTTGTAGTTTATTGTCAAACTCAGAATCTGGAGGGTTTCTGCCGAACAGGTTTTAGGAGTTTTCCTGCTCCAACACACCTGATTCAAATATAAAAATCTGTGAAGTATGTGAAGAACCTGATCTTTTGAAGATATCTATTGGATTTAAATGGTTGTTTTTTAGGCAGAGAAACATCTAAAACCAGCGACCCGTAGAGGACCAGAGCTTGAGCATTTAGAGACTAACGGGAGTTAACGGGAAAAGTATTAAAATATAAGTTTAAAATCAAAAGTAGGTGGAAGAAACAGGGTCAAACAAATGGAGGGATATTCTGTGTGTGTGTCTGTGTCTGTGTGTCTGTGTGTGTCTGTGTGTTTGTGTCTGTGAGTGTGTGTGTGTGTGTGTGTGTGTCCGTGTGCCCATGTCTGTGTGTGTGTGTGTGTGTGTGTGTGTGTGTGTGTCC